CGCTTACGTATTGCTCATTTTATGAATAATTAATAATCATTTTAAATTTAAATTTAAAAACTTAAATATATTTGTAATATACATATATATAATTATATTTATTTATATTATAGATGATTATTATTTATTATCATAATAGTTGATACGTTTTAGATAAAAACAAATAATTTCATAATAACCTTTTATTATTTTTACTTATATATTGATTAGAACATTTCGTTTAAATAAAATCAGTTTAAAATTTAAATTTAAATTAAAAACGATTTTGGGCTTTTTAATCTCATTTGTATGTGTATTCGGTTCCGTAAACGCACAGTATGATCTGATCGTCCGATTAGGTAATCGGGATAGTATTTTTCATTGCCGACAAACGCAGTGTGATACTAGCCTTAGGCTTAGACTATTGAACGATTTTCCTCGTCCTGCAAAGATATCTTTTGATACTTTTTTCATTTCGTTCATTGCGCCTAGCTCGATGAGTTTTGACTGTTTGGCGTGTCCTAAGTCATTATTAAATCGCCATTCGCCAGTATTTAGTTTTGACATCTAGCACACATACTGACTAAAATTTTACCAAATATACTACTATACTAAAAATAAACCAAGCGAGTCTATAGTTTCTATAGAAAGATAAAAAATGGTCATCAGATAAAAAAGGCTCGCGATCCTATTATTCATACTTAATTTATACATATGTACATACTTGTATACGTATCAACTATCAACTTGATACTAAATATTTCTTTGGGTTCCACAAGAAAATATTGCTTCAAAAAGAAGCTATCGAACGATTGAGAAAGTCTTACTTTTTTAGCCGAACAATTGAGAACACTTTGACATTGACAACTTAATTACCTATATATCAGTTATAGCGGGATAGCTTAAGCCAACATACTCTAAATATTTTAATAAATTATTAGAATTTTTATTTCCCACATACCACGTACCTAACCACGTATTTGGTATCCAAGTTACTATTAATATTCGACTAATTCAATAAATATCAGATTATTGTGCTCATGTTATCGATTGATTACAATTTACATTTGGCAACGTTGGAAAAAATAAAAAAAAAAAAACTCGAGCATTTTCATTTTTCAATCGTATTACCAAAAATAATGTTCTCAATTGTATTTTACTGCAAAAAGGCCTGTGACTGAACAAGTTTGGTAAGTGCTATTCTGGTAGAAATTCGTATTTCGTTTGGATGACATAATAATAATTTTATGTTGTATCATAGATACTTATTACAATTACAATGTATAATGTATTGTAAATATAATTTATTGTACTATAGTCTATAAGTATTATGCCATGTGCCCATTTATGACTTTTATGTATATTTTCACCTACACCCGCCCCAAAGATTAAGTCTTGCAATTGCAAAACATGAGTTTATGATTGGGCATCACTGTTTAAAAATATGTTGTAAGTTCTGTTCAATATCTTGTGTAGTTGTGTATTTTTTCTTTTTGTCATCATAGATTCATATTTTTATTTTATAGTGACCTGTAAAACTTACCATCTTAAAAAGAATTCTGTTAAAAATATAATTTATTAATTTACATTATTTGTATAGATTAGGTAATGAAATTTAATATTTTGTCTTATAAAATGTGTTTAAAGTTTAAAGGTTGAAAATACCTATAACTACTGACACTTGAGAAAAAAAAAATGTATTATTTAACATTTAACATATTCTATCATCACTATTCACTAGAGTCTAGAGTTAGACTTTACCTAATATATAAGCATTAAATTGATTTCATACATTTTGATATTCTAATATAAATAATGTATACAGTTTAAAAATATTAATATGTTTTTCTTAACATGTTCCCATGTATTATTTTTACTAATATTTCCTACTTAAGTTTATTTTTTATTGACGTGCCCATATTTTTCATAAATGAATAAAATACGGTTTTAAATAAACGTTTTTATAAATTTGTATGTACAATTACACTAATGAAGCAAATCTTAGTTCTAGTGACTAGTAATGTAAATTTAATAATTCTATAATCTATTAAAAAATATTGACATTAATCAATGTCTCATATCTCATTTCTGTCTTACACGTGTGAAATAGATTGCATACTATATTGATAACTTAAATATTTTGATAATTAACTTACTTAAATGGATAATTTTTTTTTTTATTTGCAGTTAAACTATACTTGCTCATACAGTAGCTTTTATAAATCCTATTGTGTGTATGAATTTATAGATAATTGACATTCCTTTTCAAGTTTCATTACAAATTTTTCTGACCTTGATGAATTTTTATATCACATGTTGTTAGTCTAAATTAGTTTTTCATAGATGATATAGTTGAATAAGTCCTATATTTTTGTATAATATAATAATATAGTTATATAAGCTATTTGATCTTAGATATGAATATGATGATAATATTGTTAGTAATTACTTGATTTGTTTTCATTAAATAGAGTGCATTTTAACATTTTTAATAGAATATCCTTTCTTTGTTGACTATATTAATCTGTAAAATCTAATAGTTTTAAACTGAAATGGTTATGGTTTCTGTAAGTTGTATTATTTAACATTTTTTTTATTATCTTATTTTTATCCACTGATTATAACTTAATATATTATGGCTTAATTTCAAAATACCAAAATAGCCAATAGGTATTTTTTTGTTAGTAGGCAAATATTGGCTGAGACTTAAAAGTTCAGCATTGTCATCCTCTTGAATGTGAGGCTTGTATCCACATTAATCGTATACATAAAAATTATGGTTTATTTCAAAAAACATAAATAATTGGCTGTTTTTTCATTGCGATTACTGATACTAGATAATACAGAGGTATCCAAACTTTTTCATCCCACGGTTCCTTTTTGTCTTCACAATATTTTTACAGCTCTCAAATTAAATATTACTTAATGACAAAAAAAAAAAAAAAAATTGTTTTATTATGTTTGTAAATTATTATAATATATTAATATTTATTTATATACTGATTGATACACATTCAACAGGTCGTGTGTGTTTCATTATTGTTTCCATAATCGTTAAATTATTACAATAATTTTATTTTCTAGTTTTTTTCCACGGCTTACTTCCTCAACTTATGCAATATCACTGAGAACCGCGATGCACAGTTTTAATACCTCTGGTATAATATGATTAATGATAATAAATATTATTTATATCCCTAATAATACAAAATTTGCAATTGAATATTGTTTATAATATCATATTTTGACCATTTATGTATACTAGATTCACATTTAAATAATAGTTAAATGGTTTTTTTTTTTAAAAAAACAATATTTATATTTATTAATAAAAACAATTTTATAATTAATAATAACTTATAATACAATGTCACAAATTAAAACATTTTTAATTCTTAAAATTCAAAAAATAATTCTGTGAAATTTATAATCTTACCCCCAAGCTTGGGTTTTACAATAATGTAATATGAGACGACCATCTGTGTTGTAACAATCATATAAATTTTTCATTGTCTGATCAGGTGAAGGTGCAAATGCTTGATTCACATATAAGAACTGCAAAAAAAAAAATATATACTTATTGAATTAAAATTTTTTGTAAAAAATAACTCATCAAACATATTATTTTTTGTTTTATTTCTTGCATTACTGGTTTTATTTGTTTACTCTTATTCCCAACATAAGAAAATGTTTAAAGGACTTAGTTACATCACAAAATTTGTTAAGGAGTATTTAGTATTTATTTATTCCATATTAATTTTTAACTAAAACCAAAAATAAAATCCTATGGTATTGTAATTAAGTAAAATCACATCAATGCATGATAGGTTTAATAATCAGATTAATTAAATAACTAAGGTAGTATGCAGAATTTAATAAGTAAATTTTTGAAGAAATCAATTTAAAATTAAATTTTATTATTGAAATCACAAAAATGATGATTTTTTTTCACAAATAATAAAATGTATACTCATTGCCACTTCAAGAAATACACAAACATATCAATATAAAAATTGAAATTGAACTAAGTGATATATTACCTTCTGTAATTTTACCATAAAACATATGTATAGTTGACATAAGTTTTTTATTGAATAACATACAAAATAAGTAAAAAGATCATAATTTTTATGCAACGTCCTTTTAAACTAAAGTTTTAATAATATATACCTATTACATATTTACCAAACTATCGGATGGTTCTAGTTTTAATAGTTTCCGTAAAAAATCATTAATAGATGCCACTGTTTTTTCTTTTTCAACCATCCATTTTTTTGTCTTGAGAATTGGTGCATTACCAGTCGCTTTCAATAATATCTCAACTATAAAAAAATATAAATAAATTTTAAATAAGTAATAACAAAATGAATTACAAACGACTTGAATATTTACTTTTTTCTTTATTTTCAGTAACAACTTTGGGGGTATTAGATTCATTAGTAACTTCTTCGTCCATGTTAAATGTTTAATACAGATAGTGTCTACAGCTCTTTGAAAATCAAATTTTCTATCATATTGCACATAACTAATGTCTACAATATTTACATTTTGCACATCATAAAAAATAAACATTCATAATAACATGGAAAAACTTTATAGGGTTCAAACGATAAACATGATCAAGAGTTGAGAATATTGCTTAGAGAATACAAAATAATTAGTTGTAGACAGTCAGTAGAACCCGACTAGGAAGTTAAATAAAATAGGTACAAACTACAAGACATAAATAATATTATTTAATCGAGTACTCGTTGCCTACTGGTTTACACTTCACTGATTATTAGTTATTACTAAAATCTTTGCTGTTTTTACTTTTTAGTCAATATATTTTACTTCCTAGAATAAAAATGATAAGTACTATCACGATTTAAAAACTAATAATCATTATAATAATATATTGATAAGAATTATGAATCATTGTCCATTTTGTCCAATGACTCTCGGCCGTTTAACAACCGCGGTCTGTGGAATTCTATAATGTTATTTTTTAACGAGCCACAAGGAGGGAGTCAATTAACTAATCTTCCGATTTGTATTACTATAGAGATTGACTGTCGAGTAGGATCAATGGATCATAGCTAAAAAATTATTCAAACATAATTAGTATTTCCACCCGCGTCGGAAGTGCAGTTTATATAGTAGTGCCCCTAGCAACCGATACAAATTATATGGAATATTGTAATTATTACATTACAACAATAATCATGTCTCAGTAACCAAGTGTGGTTATTAGCTTTTGTTTGTTATTAGACAGGTTACATATAAAAAAAAAATATAATGATAATACACAACACATAAATTTAAAAGAATAACCGATAATTGAGGCGGCTGTGTTGCCTATACGAGACTTGCGATTGGTCACTTGCAATAATCATCGACTAACGATTCACAGGTAGTGACTATCAGATTGTATGCTACTCTCTCGTTATCGAAAATATAATATCGGATAATGAAATTCAATTACGTGCATGACATATTGACATACCACCCGCCTTAAAATACCATTTCAAATCTACAAGACTATAACTGACGATTAATTAATAAGATATAAATAATGAGTTCAATGATTCGGTACGTTTCTAAAATTTACATTTTTTTTTTTCTAAGTAAACTAATAAAAAACGTTTTAAAATTTAAGGAAATTTTAAAAAGTATTAATTAAATTTAACCATGTTATTTTATGTTTTTCAAAATAACGTTTTTATATGCCTAAATTTTAATTTTTAATAATTTAAAAATTATATTTTTCCACACTTAAAAATCAACAAAAAAAAAAAAAAAAAAAAATATATATATAATAATTAATATAAATTTAAAAATATTATGATTATTTTTTTGTCCTGTTTTTTTTTTTTTAAATATGGTCACCCTAATGTAATATATAATGGCAATATAAAAGTATCTAAATTTTAGCAGCTAACATACTATAGAAAATAAAGATTTTGAGGTATAAAATGCATAATTTATATCTTTTATATTATTACTATTATTAAATAGTATATACTACATTCACGAACAACAAAATAAATATTAAAAATCAATATGTAATATATTCATGAATATTGAATACATTTGAAAAACAAAAATAATAAACATTTTATATTTTATTGTTTCCTCTAACAATTAATATGTCTCCTAATAAATCACTAGACATCGAACTTCTAAAGTCAGATAATATTAATTTTAGTCCAGAAAAGCTACGTTCGACACTAATTTAAAAGACAAAAAAATAAAAATACTTAGCCAAAAATGGATAATTATGAATAACTAAAATTAAAATGTATTTTTAGTGCTTTAAAATTGATAAATTATCTCATTTACAAAATGAATAAAACTTTTATAGTTTAGTTAAGCTTTCTCAGAGTATTTTTTCAATTTTAAAACATACCTAATAGTTTTGGCCTATTTTATTATTACGGTACATAAAAACAAATGCATACCTAAATAAAAATAATATAGACTCTAAAAAATTTAAAAAATGAAGGGAATAAAAACAATCCATTTCATATATTATTAACTGTTATTTATGCCATTTATGGGTTTGTATTCGTTTTAAATGTTTAATCATTATTCATTAGTATTATATTTATAACATCTGTCTAGTTTAATGTTAAACTTATACTCAAGTAGTTTGAACATTTTACTTAATGATTATACTTTTGAATGGTCAAATTAAAATATTAATGCCGGAGAGATACGTGAAAAATTATATTATTTAATGGTTCAATTACTTGTATTGCTGGTACTACTACGAGTATTTGTGCCAGTTCGAATAATTCGGATTTCGGGTTTTGCTATATTGTTTTCTTTACAATATTTGATCACATCTGCTTTATAAGTTAATCTTTCTACTCTATCAAAGTCTTCAATTTTTTCTCTTATAAACTGTATTGTAGATAACAAATTCTGCGATTCAATCGATTCATTCAATAATGGGTTTTGTGAAGAAGTGTGCGAACAACTAATAAGGAATTTTTCCAACGCACACCTACACAATTCTGGGCAAACTGAACACAATAGTTGAATAATGAATAATTTAAATTTTGATTGTAGTACAATTTATCATTGTTAAGACATCACTAATTATTATTATTATTAGTTATTGCCTATTGGCGATTAAATTATCCCATTTATACTTCCCCATTAAAATTTAAAATAAAATCTAATGCGGGAATAGCCCGGATATGGAATAAAATTAGTTCTTGGTTGAATAAAAATAAATTGCGTAAAATAAATATTTCCACGAGACCGGTATTTAAATTTTTATTTATAACTAATAAAAAATTGGAAGTTAATTATTTCATTAAATGATATATCATATGTTTGTTTACCGTAATATTATATTGTTTTGTGTTATTAAATTATTGTTTATCGTTTTCTGTTATAACTTGTAATTACGTTTGCAAATTTCAATTGCTTTTTGTCAAATATAACTTTATAATCATAACGTTTGCCAGCCCTGATTATAAATAATGGTTATTTTATTATTTGATTAATTTCGTTTGTGTAATCCTTTCACAAACTTTATTTTATCCACAGACCACAGCTACTGTCATATCACTGCAAGTCTTCAACTACAATTACACATTGGTACTCAACGAATCGAAGTCTTCTTTCGTCATATTTGCACTAGGTTCCCATAATTGTCCTGTAACAATAAATAATCTCGTTATCCCTCAATCAAATTAAGTGAAATATTTTGGCTTGATATTCGACAAATGTTTACATACTTAGTCATCTCATTTCAAAGGTAAACACAAAAAGCTTAACTTAAGACTTCACCTACTAAGGCCACTTCTCCGCTCAAATCTAGCATTACTTCTTACTCATACTACCTAAAACACTTCTACAACCACTCTGGGTGTACGGGGTAGTAATGTGAGATTTTATTAAAAAATCAAACAAGAGAACTATCCAAGCCTTCCAGAATATCTGCTGTCGTATAATTACTGGAGCATTTTGGTATATCTCCAACAATGCAATAAACTCTGATCTAAAAATTTGCTTTGTCAAAAAACTGTTACCATATACTACAAACGCTTCCACGCAAAACTTTAATTCAACCTCAATCAGTTCATTAGAGACCTTGCCATACCAGTACTATTCAGAAATCCAAACAGACGACTCAAGCGAAGCTGGTGCCGAGATTTAAAAATTGTATAAATTGTAATAGCCATTATAGCTTTACATTATAATGTAAAGCCACTACAATAAGTGTTTCTAATGTGAGATTTCCTATCATTAGTTCTTAGTTTTTCATTATTTTTACCATATTTATAAACTTATTGTACACCAGTATAGATTATAATATCCTAAAATAAAGTCATGTTTTAAAGAAAAAAAAACTTTATTTATACAATATAATAATTATTAAAGAGTTAATAATATTAATAATATTAAGTTACCTATTTGACTTTGACCGGACTAACGATCTTCAAGTTGACTAGTTTTTTAATTTACCATTTAGAAATAACAATATACCATATAATTTTGTACGTGATTTTGTGATCTTAGAAAAATGGAGATTATCAAGTAGTAATAACAAATAACACATCACATTACCTTTGCCATTTAATTAGATATTTTAGCATAACTTACTAGTTTATTAAAAATACAAAATTATATTTATAGATTAATACTGCAAATGTGTAAAATATATCTTAACTTAAAAATAACAATCTGATGTGTTTAAAAAAAAAAAAAAATAAATAAATAAAGTCATAGGGCACTGGAAAATAATGACAAAAAAAAATATATATATATAAATAAATATTTTACATCTAAATTATTGGCTACAAACTAAAAACCGGGTGCATTATTTTATTTAAAATGTGATATACTAAAATATTAAGTGTCGTTGAATATATTTCTATAAGGCAAAATAGGCATGTTACATTACAATATTTGTTTTTGAATAAAGGTAAAAATGTTTTACATTGGTTTATAGTAATTTATAGTAATATATATTAACGAACTTAACTAAGATCTAGGTATATGGAATGCATGCGTTACATAAATATGTAAAAAAAAAAAAAAAAATGGTAATACAAATATAATAACAAGGATTATTCTATAAAGGGCAGTGTAAGGTGGTGGTGAAAATTTGATCAAAAATATTTTATTATATATAGTTCATATTAAAAATTGGATTGACATTTAAAAAAATAAAATAAATGCTTTCTTTTAATATAAATATTGTCATGAAACATAGGTCATTTTTATAGATAAATGTGATGTAAAATCATAGTTTGGCTTTACTTTAAATTTGATGTTGAGATCAAAAAAAGAAAAAGAAAATTGCCATTGTTCATGAATAATACTGATTACAAAATAATAATACATACTAAACAGTAAACATATAAAATTATTAGAGGTCTATATATAACATAACAAATATTTAAAAAGGTGTTAAATGAAGCGCAGGCCTAGCGTGCATTTTAAAATTAATATTAAATTAACAGATTTAATCACAACAATAACCAAACCATCCTAAGAATGACTGTGGCACAAAATAAAAAGTTGTAATGCTTTTAATTGGTATGGTATGAATACAAAATTCTGATATTAATTTAAATATATTTATAATACCAATTGTTTTAATATATTAAAAATAATACTACTTCTTTTTCAATTGAAATTAAATAGTTAAGTTAGTTAGTATTCCTAATGTAACTATTTCATTTTTTTTTTTTTATCATGAACTTAAAAATGTTTTTATCACAGACGAGGAATTCTAATTTGAAATTAATAGACACGTTACAAAAATACAACCATTAGTTACAATATAAGACAACAATAGTCTGTATCTTTACAATTAAATCATTTTTAAGCGTTATTG